GTAGCTCTTGCACTTCTGGCTTACACATCAGCGTTGAATGCCAAATGGTACTATCTCTATGTTCAACTCCATATTCGTGATTGGGGTCCAGATAACCCCATTAGGATTTATTTTCTTCAAAAACTCCGGGAAAAAATGTCGCCGCCCCAGATGGTGCCAATTGTGCTGACCCAAAAAAGATGCCATCCCCGTGATCAGGGCGCTGATCCAACACCACCATTGTAGTTTTGGAAAAAAAGCGATTTGACTCGACTTCGAAAAACTAGATCGGCCGTACGGACACAACCTCCCCACGTTTTGTCCCCAAACGGCTTGAAGGCGAGCTCGGAGCGTGAAAATAGGGGATCTGTTTATTTTATTCATTTATTTTCATACGTCTAAGCGACATGCCAGCCAAAAGGGGCGTAATAAATTAACGAAGCAAAGCCGGGAAAAGAAGGAGGGGTACTCTCTAGTGATAAACACTAACGAGGTTGTCTTTTAGGACACACCTCATCCTTCGTTGCATTCTTTGAAGACGATCTAGTTACCGACAAGAGGCATAGTAGTCAGTGGTAAGGCCGAAAATTCGACCAACCACTATTTGACGGGAGGAGAACCTAGCGACCTCGTCATCGTGCGTGGTCCCTCGGCCATCGGCTTGGGTGTCTGCCATTGTTCATTGTAGGTCAGGATTTCTTATTCCTAGAGTACGATTCTATTTAGATGACAAGGAGACCGCCTTCAAATCCTCCAACCGTCACGCCCGACGGCTAGTGGTCTGGTCCCACCATATGGTCCACTGTTTACAACTTTGTCAGAATCTTATTTTCTCTGAAACCATGGTTATGAGGGTTATCCAGTGCCCTGATTACGATTATGACATTCGTTTTTGGCGCGGACGTCATCTGGTGCCGCTATGACGCCATTCGGTGCCAAATTGGTGCCGTTTTGGTGTCACAAATTCCATCACCAGTTTTTTGGTCAAAAGCTATTTGTAAGGGTTGCTGATGGTTCCAATTATGAACATGACATCCAGTCTTGGCGCTGACGCCATTTTGCGCAAATTCTGAACGCCAACTCGAAATGCAAAAATTTGTCACCGCAAGGAATCGAACCACGGACCACTTCCCTTTTTTGGTATTCAGAGGGCCGTTCAGGAAAAATGAACCATGGTTCTGTGGTTCCCGCATGTGCCCCTATATCATGCAAAGAAACCGTTTTGAAAAAGCTTGGCACACCCTGAACGACCTTCCTGGTCAGGTTTGCAGGTTTGGGTTTACTACAGTCTGTTTGCTCTAGTGTCGCTTTCCCTGTGCGTAATATGCGCAGCAAAATTGAAGGCGCTCATCCGGTAAGGGGGGGGGGCATTGTGATGCAACGTCTAATAACTGCCCTCACCCCCCACCCCCTGAACTGGCCTTCACTCCCCCTGGCTCACGGGGTCCCGTACTTCGAGAAACCTGTGCGCCAGGGGGAGTGTAGGCAGTCTGGGGGTGGGGGGTGAGGGCAGCCACTTGATGCCCCCCTTACTGGATGAGCGCCAAAATTGAATGTCTGATCTAATGCTCTGAAGTATTTGAGGAAAACATGATTTGGAATCAGTATGCTCTAATATGGTTGAATGTTGCTCAACACGTTGACGACAGCCATCTTCATGCGTGTACCTCGGCAACTTTTTGTTTATTTTTTTCACAATCGTCATAACTTCTTCAATAATTCCACTACTGGTAATTGATGCACAGTTTTTCGGATAAGATAATGCATGCACACAGTTTTGAAATATGAAAAAGGCCAAATAAACCAAAAAAACTGGCCAGAATCGGGTGAAATTCTGACGCGCATGCGCGTCATGCTGTGCTTATTATAGTAGTGAGTGTCAGTTCAATGCTAATTTCGTAGTCAATATTTTCCCGCTAATCTAATGTGTTCCCCCTCTCTATCTTTTTATTACTCAATACAATAGTGTACACACAAATAAAATAAATAGAAAGAGAAATCTCCGAAAAAGAGGACCAAAACTTCTTAAAAAATGACAAGAAGCATTAAATTCTCACCTAAAAACAGAACTAAATATCTTGTCCTTGTGTTGAAGCAACTGACACTATCAACGTTCAGGGCCTTCTTCTTCATCTGCAGTTTGTATATGTATGTATGTGGGCTATGCGCCAAAAATTTTATCAAATACGATTATTAAAAAATAGAACGAGCAGCGAACGAGGTAAAGCGTGGTCAGGCCAACTAAAAGGAGCAACAGTCCAAAAGGTTTTCTACGGGAGACATGTACAAAGTCTAAGTCAATTTAGCGCCGAGTGGACTGTTTGTGGAGAGAGAGGAGATGGAGACGTTCTCATTGAGTAAATAACAACTGTTCAAACGATGTTGGTAGAAAAGAGTGAAGGAGGCGACAACACTGATCTCTAATTACAGAATGAGAAATGAACAGATCACCAATTTTTGTTGCTAAGGAATCATGAATCAGTGCAATTTTTGCACAACAAATATTACGTAGATAGTCAAAACAAAGGGAAAAAATAGTAAGCATACAGAAATTGCTCCCTTGGTAATCGCTGAAAGAGAGGCCACCTTTGAGAGGATTAGGTGTACACGACAGCAATGATGATAGAAGGAGAAATCACGTTTATGATGTCGACGACAACGTCTCATCCGTCAACGGTCTTCGATCACATTCAGCGAACAAATCCTGGCAGCTCGCCAATGTTGGGTTGATAAATAAATAGAAAATATTCATGAGAAGAAAAAAATTCACGTTATCTAGAAGAAGGGCTTACGGCCTCAAACGTCGTCAAGTAAAGCTGTTTGGAAGAGTTTTGTTCCAATCAACTATAAAGAAGTCTTATGAGACAATGAAGCTCAGGAACCTTCTTTAATTGATAAGGAAATATTTGTGTAAAATTGTTTCTAAACTCCTTTTTTCGCTTGAGCTCACGAGAACAGTGAATAGCATTGTGCGTTTCTCACTCAGTACTGTGTCAGGGCAAAATTGTGATAAATAATTTTTCCAAACCCAGAAACTGCATAAATAGGGAAGAAGTAAGAGATACCCATACCCACATGCGAGAAATTCATTTAGGAAACGTGGAAACGAATGCGCGGTTCACGCGCTGCTTTCATTACAACGGGAAACATACTGACAGCTGATCTATGCCTTCCGTTATCGTCAACCAAAAACGAGAGAAGTATCAAAAGATGAGTGGCAGAGATACTAGAGACTGAATATATGATTGATGAGAACGAATTGAGGTTTTTATCATGGCGGAACTGTCAAGTAAACAGTTGGCGGTAATAATTGCTATAGTCTGACAGGTTTTTTTTTCTGAATATTATTACGAGTGACTCCGATGATTCACCACCATGGGAACTGCGCGGGGAAATCTCACAAAAAAATTCATGTTTTTCCTGCTATTAGACAAACTCCTTGTTTTTTGGAGGCATCTTCCCCTCTTCCATTAATCTGATAAGTTTGAGTTAGCTTTATCCCTAATACTTACTAGTAGTGAGTAAGTAGTAACCGTAGAAGTATCCGTGTAAGTCATTTCTGTGAGTCGTTATTTCTCTCTTTAGCAACAGTAGCCCCAAATTTTGTGTTCCATATCTTTCGATTTTTGAAAGTCTTCGAGTCATTGAGAGTCAAAAAACAAGAAAAAAAACTTTAGTTAGATGTACGCTGAGAAAAATATTGCAAGAAAAATCATTCTTATGAGCACCATTCTGATGAGCTATATGTAAGGTGGATGAACTCGTGACGTCATGGAATAAAAGCGATGTACATATAATTTCACAAATTGCGGTACAACAGTTGAAACAAAGAAGCTATAACTGCCTGTTTGCTTCAGATTTTGTTTGTCCTTATTTGAACACTTGCCACCGCTCTGCGACATTTAGGGTTTGGGGAGTGAACCTGGGGAGCTCAGTCTACTTTGAGAACAGAAAAGGAATAAAAGAGCCGATAATAGATTTTGAAAAGTGATGGAAATACTCGGACTTTTCGTTTGAGCAATAACGAAAATACCTCTGTTCGCAAACTGCGAAAGTGCGTAAGCGACTGGTTCCGCATTTCAAAGGGTATATAAATAGTAAGGAAGATTGTACAAGCTCAGCAAGACAACCTGAAAAGCTCAGAATTGATCACTGCTTTGTTGAGGGCCCCTACGACCCTCAACAGTGATAAGTTCTGGGCTTTTCAGGTTGTTTTTCAGGCTAAAGAGGACAAATACGAAATTGAAGTTAAAAAATCATTCGTTAGATGGAATGCATCTGAATCTGTGATGGTGTAGCTCCGCGGCTAACTGCAGCTGGAGTTAGTTCATGATTCATCAAAAGGAAAAAGCTCATCTTACTAAAGAACATGAGCTCCCACGGCATAGAGCCTCCTTCCTGCTAAGCCTAGAAGAGGGTTTAGACGCACCAAATCAGTGACAAACTAATTAGGAAACGACTATGAAAGAGAAACCAGGACGGCTGCTCGAAATAAATGTTGGTATAAAGCGATACCGAAAGATGTGCATGACGTTCATGTGCAAAACCTCGTATTGACCTAAGGATAAGGAATAGGAAGCTATTTGATCTCACAACTTTGATGGCTGGAAAAGCGACACAGCGTAACACATAAGGCCATCCCATTTATTTTCAGGTAGTGGCTTGTCATTTTTAGTAGCACCAACAACAAAAAAATGACAAAAAAAACAATGAAAATGTTAAAAACAGAGCCGACAATATTCACCATAATGAAGAATAGTCTTCGCACATATTCTCAGTAAGAACCATCACTGGGGTTTTTGCGCTCCATGCTGGAGCGACTTCTTGAGTTGAACAAGGAACTCCAAACCATATCGCAACTATCATAACGTGGTTTGTCTAATGCGGGAGCGATGGACAGACATGGAGGGCGAGATGAAGAAAGCGTTGGTCCAGGAGAAAGAGAATTGCCTGACTCTTTTTTCGACAGAAACCGAACAGCTCGTCTAGACAGGCTCCGTTTCGAACTGTTCTCTAATCATGCACAAGCTATACATCGTTAGCAAAGGACGGCAATCAGGGTGCAGCTAAACAAATTTGAATTGGTCACGTCGTAAGCAGATGCAGTATGAAATTTCGAAATTCAAAGTAAACAAGCCCATGTTGACCTGACGTGAATTGAGCAACTTCTAATCACACTTTGTTTGAGCCGAAGGAACCATAACTTCCAACGTATAGTGCTTATTCGGATCCTCTTCGGACTCTGAATATGAATAGGAACTGCACAAAGAAGAACCAAAGTTCATTCCACAAGATTCCAACATAACCAAAACTGTCTTCAAAAGAATTTTTGCAGAAGCTTTTCTAGTAATTTTTTTATTTTTTTAAACGTGTTTATTTCATACATGATGTTTTGACGCTTTTTTAGGGTCCTCTTATACAGTGCTGAAAAAAAGACTGTTGGTACGTCTTTGAATATTCTTTTTACTGTGCATCGTGTCGAACCACATGAAGGCTATGGAACCTTAAAAAAGGAAATTCTTGTGGATTCATTAATGTTATGCTACTCGGGAATAGTGAACATGTTCAGGGACACTGAGTGCTTTTCAGGGTTATGTTGAGTGGTGAAAACCTTTCGAACGCCTCTGTAATCTAATTATAAATTGAGTGCGCACCGCATGCTAAATGAGTATGCAAACTAAGTCTATTTCAATTTTCTAATTTAATTTCCTTGCACTAGATAGTTAAGAAGATGCAAACTTTTACAGAGACTTGGAAAAGGTAGAATTCAGCTTACAGAATTAGCAGGAGGGCGGTGCTGACAACAGGGATCTTTCTGCGCTGCCAATCGGCGCTGCGCTTTTTCATAGCGTTTTTGCTCCATCTCGTACGGAAGCATGCATTGAACACTAAATCGATTAATCCTTGCTGAATTCTTTCAAGAGTGCCGAAAATTCACGAAACACCTCTTTATTGTTCGATTCCTAGTGGTGGTAAACTTTTGCATACTATGTTGGCGTCTACGGATTGCACCACATGGTGCCATATGTTGAGAGCGGACGTCGTGCTCGATATAGGGCTGTACTGGCTCCAACACGTGGGCGCCAACAAAAGGAAAAGATTTTGTCATCACCGAAAACCAAACAGTCATTAGATTTCAGTACTTTTTGGCTTAGAGGAATCCTTCCCGGAAAAATCTTGCATTCTTTCCCAACACGCATATGTCAGTTGTGATCACTAGAGACAACATACAAAGTTTCACGCACAAAGATTCAGTTTCCGAAGAGAAACAAACTTACAAAAACACTCTATGGACAATCGAAGGTAAGTGGCGCGGAGCCAAAGGCGGGCATGGAAAGAAGTCCGCCTTGGGGCGGCTACGTATCAGGCGACGCAATGAAAGAATCGGGTTAAAGCGTGCGATTTTGGAGAGTAGAGACAAATCGATCGATAGAATAGGATGGAGTAGAAGTGTGAGATGTGAATGCAATAAGTCAAAAGGCCAGAAAGAGTTTCTAGTGAGGCACTCCAAGAACCAAGTGGAAGCATTCCCGTCGCCAGCATTTGTGACAGATGTCCGGCGGTACTTTGAACGCGTAGCAGCCCTTTCGGTTTTTCGAATTTTTTTACCAAAACAAATGCAATTTTTTTGTTCTTTTGTTCTTGTGAACGATGGGTCCCAAGCCAGTGAATTATGGGTGAGATAGGATCAAGATTTTTTCGAGAAGGTTTCTCTAACATAAACCGTTCAGATAAAAGAAAGAAATAATATGGAATCCAGTCTTTTGGTGACTGCATGATTCTCTACAATATGTAAGAAACCGTCCCAAAAATACGCATGTTAGCCTGAGCAAACCCTTGAGAGTGGAATCCCGCGATGGTAATGATGGAAGTAGTACATACGTCACAGAAAATTAGCCTTATCACGTGATATGACGGGCCAAACTTCCATACAGACGAAATGAAAACACTAAAGGGAGAACGTCCTTTTGATGAATCGTTAGTGACGTGAGAGTGAATCAAGTTCCAGCGAACACAGATGATCAGTGAATATCAACTAGATGGAATTTGATCGTCCACTAATTGGGACTGTTGGAAAAAACATGTTATTGAAGTTCGTCGTTGCCTTCTGAGGATTCTGTGACCTCCCA